CGCTCCCCTCATCTTCCCGGCTGCGGGGCCGAAGCGATCCGAGTGTTTTTGAACCTGGACGTGGTGGCCCGGGTGCTCTCGCGTCTTGGCTTGAATGTCTGGGGTGTTTTGTTTTGTTTTTGTTTTTGTTTTTTTAAAGAAAAGGAAAAAAAAAAAGAGCAACAACTTTGCGTAGTGACTCGAATGCTTGGGTTTTCCAGCGTGGGGCAGGTGACGGGTGTATTTGGGGTGGCAGCTTCGCCGATAAACCGATCAGTCCCCAGGTTGGTGCAAATAAAGCGGTCCATTGTCCACATGCTTAAGGGCTTAAACTATTCCAGCGGGGCAAGTTCTCCGGGGTCAACTGACTTGTAGTTACCGCTCACGCTCGCAGCGTAGCGGTTCTGTTGAATTGGTACGCACAGATAAGAGCAAATAATACTGTAACTTTTTCCAAGTTGTCTTGCCTATTACAGACTCACCTTCCCCTAGCCAGCATTTTTTTTTTTATCGTATCAGTGTTACGTGCATTTGTATATTATACAGTCATGTATACTTTTTAACCATTTGGTTTGAGTTTAAAGTTAGAAAATTAGGAGCGGTAGTAACTGCTGCCTGCCGCGCGTTTGCCAGGACAGTGCCAGATGTTCATGGATGTTTCACGTCGGTTAATTTTCAAGGGTAACTTTTTGCATAAGCATAGATTATTCATAGTTTTTTCCAACACCAGTTTGATGTCACGCGTCACTATGTAGGACGTTTGCATTAAATAGTTGCCTCTTTTGTGAAGATAAGGGTGATGATCACAGAATAACTCAGCAAACTAGTGTGGCTTTAAAAGTTCATAGAATTGCAGTTAATCCGTTTGGGTGTTTGTGTCAAATGCCTTGTAGCTCTTACTTATCCAAGTGCCCATTACATAATACAGTCAGAAAATGATGAAGTTAGGGTAGGCACCAGGCAAAAGTACTGAGAGCCACCATGGCCCTTACTCGAAGGGACCTTCTTTGTATAGTTCCTAACTAAGGACAAACATGTGACGTGATTTTTTTTTTCAACACCAAACTAAGAAAATTAAACAAAACAGCAGGCAGTGATTTTGCTGGAGTGTTTAGATAGGATCTCACTGTGTATCCCCTGGGTGGCCTGGATTTATGTGGAGCAGGATAGCCCTCAAGAGACCTTGCCTGCCTCTGTCTCCTGGGTGGTGAGATCAAAAGTGTGCCCTGCTATACTCAGCTAGTCAGGGTTTCACTGAGCATTTGACTATTAAGAATGTTACATTTTCTGGATTGTGGGTAGTTGTGTCTGACTTTTTGATTAGGCTTTAAGTATCTTAAACACATACTAGTGTGTCCAGTATAAGATTAGAATATGTTTATAAAGATAGAACATAATGATTTATGTAGCCACAACAGTTTGAAAAGCTGACTTGTGAGGATGGTGGTAGATCTGTGTCATGAGAGAATAGAAGTGGCTGGAAAGATTTTAGACAGGCTGAGGGGAGAGGTTGGAAGCTTGTGCTTGTGGGTAAATTAGCATATTGGAGCTCACTATCAGGAAATTCTGATGGTGTGTCATGGGGAAGAGATAAAAGTTGGCAAAGCCTTGTTCCTTGGTATTTACCAAAGGGTTTTTTCTTTACTTGGGGACAGTGCCTTTGGGGGCGGAAAGTAAATAGAGATGAGAAAAATGCACATTGTTCTTTGGCGTGAATACTTCTCAGTGTGAGTAACTGTTGCTACCACATTCATCTGTCTCTTCAAGCACTCTGCAAGCTTTGAGATTCGGGGGTAGTCGTAGGTAGCTGAAAGAAAGAAAAAGGTAGACAGTAGTGATAAGAAATCCCCTATGAGGCTTTCCTTTGGGCAAAATTTTGGACCTCTGAACAAAATCTATCCAAATAATAGTGACAATGAATTTATAAGTCAAAGCATTTATATCAAGAAATAAAGAAACTATTCCCTTAATATAATCTATAGCCAATTGAGTAGGTTTATAATATACACAATAAATCACTAAATTATTCACGTTTGTTACAGCTCTAAAGTTGTAGAAACTGTCTTCTTGCACTGTCTTCGCTCCTGTCTATAGGTCATCCAAGTGATGACAGGAAGGTGGGCCTGTCTCATTCTTCACTTCAGAACTTGGCTCCTAGGCCGGGGGTGCAGCTCAGTGTGAAAATTTGCCTAGAATGCACAGAACCCCCCTGCATCTATCATCGTTCATATCTCCATCATGACCAACATGAAATAGAAAACTTATCTCTGGTGTGGGTGTCCTTTAGCCCACAGACAGCAAATCAGTTTGTGCTAGAATGAGTTGTTGCTTATCCCGAGGGCCCAGAACAGATCCTGGCCAGGAAAAGTATTTGTGGAATGAACAATGTACCAAGTGCATGCATTTCTTTTCCTTTTGTATAGGGCTGCTCCAGCCTCACCTCTGTAATTGAATCCCACAACTACCCCTTGTGTGTTGTGTAAACACAAGGTGTTTAATCTTAATGGCGTTACATTTACTACATTACTGTTTCATGGAGTTTGTGTCCTCACTTCAAATACAATGGTCTTTAAGGCTGTGCCTGTTTATACAGCATGATTTTTGAGAATTGCCTTAGCATCTGGTATGTCTACAGAGTTGGCTTGTATGTATCTATTGAGTAAATACTAGTTATCATGGGAAAACATCACATATATTTTAAGCCAAAGGTAATATATTAGTTAGGCAAGCTTTGAATATACTTATGAAAGAAACAATGTAAAAATTTAGTGTCAAAAATAATAATAGGTAATGTCTATGTAGCACTTCAAGTGCGCCAGCCGTGTGTCTCTGTCCCCGTTACATGCTCATTTATTTGTGTCTCAATAGTTTTTTGGTGAAGGTAGTTATTACCCTATTTTTCAAGGAGGAAATGGATTGCCAGCAAAGCTTTCTTGCCCAAGATTATGATGTGCATAATAAGTAGAATAGGCAGCCTGGCTCCCGAGTCAGCCAAGCTTCTCTGTGAAGTTGTTTGTGTGGTGTAAGGGAGGCGGAGGGGGTGCCAGTGTACAGAGGCCAGAGGAAGATGTCAGGCAGCCTTCTCTGTCATTGTCCGCCTTATTGCCTGGAGACAGTCTCACTGAGCCTGGAGCCGTGTTAGTGACTGGCAAGCCCCAGTGTTCCCACACAACAGGGATTTTTATATTGGTTTGGGGATCAGGACACATGTCTACAGCAGTTGCTCCTGCTTGTGAAACACTGAGTCATCTCTCCAGCCTAGGAATTTTATTTTACGATTTGAAAGATCTAAAAAATCATATATTTTTTAAAAATAGTTATAGAAGGTGCCCTTGGTAGGGTGGGTGTTGGCTGGAGAGATGGTTCAGTGGTTAAAAGCGCTTGCTGCTCTGGCAGAAGACCTGAATTTGGTTCTCAGCACCCACTTGGCAGCTTATCACCATCCATAGTAAATCCATTTGCAGGAGGCCCAACGCCCTCTTGTGTCCTCCCCATCACCCTGCATACATGTGCATATCCACACATGCATGTCATCGCTATGTAAATAAATAAGGGGGAAAGATGTTCTTTTAAATTATTTATTTAACTTTTGTGCTGCTGGTGATCAGAACCTCATGACGAGGTTCTGTCCTGACCCTAAGGATGTGCTTTTAAAAGTTTCAGGGTGGGGCTAGCAAGATGGCTCAGCAGGTGGAAGGTGCTGCCCACCAAGCCTGAATTCCATTCCTGGCACTCATGGTAGAGGGAGAGTACCAGCTTTCAAAGTTGTCTTCTGACCTATACAGGAACACAAAAATGTAATTGTTTTTTTTTTTTTTTTTAATCCTTAAAAAGTTGAGGGTAGAAAAAAAAAAACAACCTGCACCACTGCACTACAGAAGCACTTCTGAGTCTTCCAGGCAGAAGAGGGTGATACTGAAATAAATGGTCAGAGGCCATTGCAGGAACTAAAGATGAGGGTGGAGAACCTGGATTTTGACTGACAGCTAAGTATGGTTTTGATCTTGGTTGTTGGATTCTAGGGTAATGATTTACCAGGACAGTGGCTCAAAAGTTCCTCCTTCAGTGTTAGAACACTTCTGCCAAATAAAATAATGCTGAGTGACATGTGACAGCTTGCTGGCTCCTTTTCTTAAGTACTTTCTCGATTTCAGTCATTGTGGGAACCTACTGTTGTGTGGTTATCGCTGAGGTTGTCCTCAGGTTATCTGCCCACTGGTGGAATTTTGATCCCACCTTTTCAGCGTGTATTGAGCAACAGACAACACTCAATTAGAAAAGGTCAGAAGTCCTCTTCTCACCAAGTACTTTTTTGTTGTTGTTGTTGGTTTTAAGACACAGTTTCTCTGTGTAGCCCTGGCTGTCCTAGAACTCATTCTGTAGACAAGGCAAGCCTCGAACTCAAAGATCCACCTGCGCCCACCCCCAAGTGCTGCAGTCAAAGGTGTGCTCTACCGCATGCCTTTTTTTTTTTTTTTAATGGTGGTACAAGATATAAAAATTTCTACTGATTTAGTATAAACTTGGAATAAAGTCAGAAGTGT